TTTCCCCTTTAATCTCTGCATAATGCTGGTGTTTTTGCAGTCTGCATAGAAACCAGTGAGTTAGAACACGAGAGGCAGCTCGAATTCAGTTAGCACGTGGGATAGCTCTAATGCGCTTTCCTCTGCCAAGAGTAACGGCCCTCTGTACTCTCCGCTGGCTTACTCCTGTGAGATTCAGTTCACCATGCGGTGTGTTGAAGAAATTGCTCGTACGCGGCTGTTACTCGATGTCTCTCTCGAACATGAGATATACTCGATTTCCATGCGGGCATAAATGCAGTATCTCTGTGAGAAAGCCTAAGTCCTTGCTGGGGCTCTTGAGGGCTACTCAGAAGATGAATGGGCTCGGGAGAGCAGTGTCCTCTTCTGATTTGTCGTGAGGAAAGATAGATCATAGGTGAGAGAGTCCTGTGCGTACGTACGGAGATGTTCGGGAAGGCGCACGCGGTGCTGCGCTCTTCGATTTTTGGAGAGCACACGCAATTTTCTTTTGTTTGTTTGTTATGTGTTTTTCAAATACGAATGTGAAGATAACCAGGCTTTTTGGTCGCACAGAATGGACTTATGAGCTAGATCTTCACCGGCAGTCGAAGCACAGAAGAGTTGCAAGACAGACAGGGACTTTCTCGGCAATCTATCCAGCAATTACTGCGTATACTTTTTGCTGCTGATATCTGCTTTTGCTACTCTCAAAATCTTTAACGCAGGTATCGGTTCATGGCCGTTGAGTTCTGGCCTCTTCAGATTCTGTGAAGTACTCGGAGGTGGCACTCTACTCGAATAGTTTCTGCGACTCGCCAAGACTCTCTCTAAGAATAAAGTCTGTGGATGTTTGTGTCATCGTGTGATTATCTGGCGATTTAAAGCGAACGTATCTCATTGCTAGTCAGCTCTTGCTTAGTCTTTTTCTTCTCTTATCTCATTTGCACGTCAAATACACCGGACGTGGCAATGAGACAATTGGCGAGAACTTTAAGCCAGTTGATACACAATCAGCGTGACGGTACTGTTCCTAGCTTTACCCTGTATGTGTGCTTGCGCTTTAGTGTAATATGGTTGATGCCTAACGGACTCTTTCTCTCAGACAGACCCTAGCTCTCTCTGCGATGCGGTTTTGTGAGAGCATCTTGTTCGCTTTACGTTAGAGTGTTCTCTTTTGCTATTTCATCTTACCGTTCTTTGGTCGAAGCCGTAGATGATAAGTACAGGGATGCTAGCACTGCTCTACAGCTGAATGTGCATCAACTTTGTAGCCAGAAAATCTTACTTTGTCAAAGTGCATTATCTCTTTCACCGAGTTTAACCAGAGATTAGACCAGCCTACCTGTGGTTTGATGGATGGATGCGAAGTGGGTCTGTGCCATGTAGAAGACTTAGCTCAAGCACATTCATTGTGCTCTTATTCCTATATTGTGACACCGCACTCAGGCAAGTCAAGAAGGTATCATCCGACACAGCTACCTCGACCTCAAGATAAAGTGTTTTTCCGCTAGATTAACGCTAGAATCCATGTCGTCGACGCTGTAGACTAAGTTGTCTGAACTTACTTTGTGGTAAAAATAGCATATCAGGCTTGTATCACTTGACAAGCGATCGAGTTCTGTATTTCTGATGTATATTTCTCGTGAAGACCTCGTGGTCTCTCTTCACAATGTGTGACATGCAAGACTCTCTTTTCTGTGAGATTCCAAAGCGAGCGCCTTCTTCGATTCTGTGAGATCGCGCGCTCGCCGTAGTGTCTTGGTTGGTGAAGCAGCCACCTCCAACATCTATACGTGTGTTTTGTTGTTAGACAAGATAAATCTTCTCGACCTCTCTTCATTGATTTTCTGAGTATATCTACCCCTCGCGTGATATCTATCTAAGGCAAGCCAGACTATTTCGTGAGAACAAAGAAGTCACATACTAATCGATCCGTTTTTTCGCTACCTAGGCTGTACGCGCTGCCTCTCGTTCAATGACGGATTTATCGGAAGGATCATTATGCGATGTAGCTACTCATTTCTTTAATTGGGAGTGAGCTCGGCTAGTTAAGTTCCAAAGCACACTTGAATCATGGATGAAGTCTAAAGAATCCGCAGTAGAATCCGGCTCTCGCTATGTTTTGTTCTGAACCGTCGCTCATGACGATGAATCTCTCTAGTGATACTTTCGATATAGCCGACGTCCTCTATCTATAAGGGCCAGCTCTCAGACAACCTTTGTGAATAATTGGTATCATAGGACCCTCTTTGGCGACGTCGATTTGAACTTGAACCTTGTTGAAGAGGCAGCCGTGTGCATTCGTCCAGATAAACAACAGTACACCATATGATGGGTCTGTGGCGGCACTGTAGCCGTATTCGTCTTTCTCTGGCGATATGTGGTTGCGTGCTATCTAACAAGATATGAAGGAGGAGATATTAGATTTGGAATGGAAGGATATTGACTCATGGAACCGCTGGCTCAAAGTTGATGGAGTGTGGCCAGAGTACGTTATAAATGATGAGCAACACACCTCTTAGACATGCCTCGACGTGATGTTAGGACATGTGGCGCGTTCGCAAAGAAGGCCCGGATGACTGCTCTCTCGCGATGTTCGGACAGTTGTTTACTAGCAGGTTGACCGGAGTGGCTCTCTCTAGTCGAGGGTCAGTCGTGCGAGAGGTCTGGTTGATAGCTCCATAGTAAATGAGCTTTGAAGGGCCTCTAAGAGCCAAAGATATTTTGCTCGTTTAGAGCCCGGCTCAACATGTTGGGAGAATCTAAATCGATGTGGCGAGCTCGTCAAAAAAGTCGAGCTAAGATTGGCCGTTCATCTAAGCAGAGTATGATTTATAGGAGAGCGGCCCATCTTAAAGTAGTGAAGACATTTTTATTAGTTTTGGTGTAGCGTGTCTGTGCATATCGTGTGACTCTTTCTCGGACTGATACTAAAGTGCCTTCAAATCGTATAAAGACGTATGGCTCTTCTCCAACCAAATGAATGAAAGGAAACACTTCTGTGTTTTTTTTGCGTATGAGTGTGCCATAGCAGTTTCTTTTAATGCCCTGTTGAGCGATACCTAGAGTGTATTTTGCTAAGGGACTGGATAGAAGGTGAGCTCTTCAAACAGTTCCCCACAAGTGTCCATTTTGATGTGGCCACTTCTGTATCATTCTTCGACAGTTCGATTTGCATTTGGACATGCATAGCTCTCGTGCGTAATCTACCGAACAAGGAACCTTTGTCCCTCCACTCTGCCGCTCATCCCTCCTTTCTGCCCATAAATATCAAAATGAATCGCCTGATGTACCAGTGGAACCGAGTCATGAATCTTCTGTTGCAGTGAATAATAGTCTAACATCTCTTCTTCAGATGCCTCAGGCTTGTGAAGAAACAAAAGCTACAGAGTTTTCTGGGTTGAGGAATGGAGAACCAACAAGCGCCCAAAACAGTTCCAAAGAAGATGCAAGTTCTGAGTGGGTTGATTGCAAGAGAGGATTGAGGGATGCAGGAAATGCAACTCAAGTGCATCAGCATACTGGTGGATCATCTGGTAATTTGTGATTTGCTGAAGATTAGCTTAACTGATTTTCTTTTTCCTGCCTTCTTGCCCCCCTTTTCAGAACAGTTTGCTTAAAAATGGTTTTTCTGTTATTATTTAAATGCAATTAGCATAATTTGATTATTACATTTCCACTGAACGTCATATGGTGATGCACATTGTGCCTTTTTCTTATTTTTTGTCTTTAACTTTAAGATTATGAGACACAACTTCTTGTACTAACTCTCATTTGTGAATATGTTTAACAAATGCCTCTCATTTGCACTAGCAAGTAGTACAGAAAGTAATAAAGTAATTAATCCGTTGTATCTCCCAAGTCATCGGCCTCCACTGCTGATTGTTTGTCTGGGTAGATTGCCAGATAATAAAATCTGGTTTTAGTCATTTCCCAAACCACTTGTCAGGAAGATTGTCCAAATTGTCTCCTTCCCTGCCAATATACTAATTTTATTCCATATGATAAATTTTCAGCTAATGACATCTGGTTGTCTGTCTATCCATGCAGATGGACTTGATTTGAGGCATTAGAGCTGGTGGTACCATCAAGAATTCAATTGCTGCAGTCTGCATACTAGTATCCAAGTGAGATGCGGCGGTTAGTATAAAAGCTTCCAAACATGCCATATGTTGAGAGAATATTTGGCCATATGCTTCTGTATATAGAAGCCAAGAAGCAGCTAAAGTAAAACAAACGAGAAGATGTTTCTTTTGATGTTGAGGTCCTAGACCTCCGCATCAGCAAGGGGGGAGGTACCAAGAACAACTGATGAATGCAGGAACAAACAAAGTATATCGATGCTTTCAGATGGGAAACCACATCTTCGTTGCAGAGTTTCCAAATTGATCTGGCATTGGTCTTGCTTGGGTGGGAACGTAGTTAACAATTTTGGTTTGGTTGTAGGCAAGTTTATCCCCGTGCCCAAGAACACTGTGAGCGGCTACGATTCTCATTTGCTGAATGAATAGATAAGCGACATCCACTGTTATGTGATTGTCAATGGATTGGCGTATGAGAATTAAGACGTGATTTGAACAAGGGTTTAGTGTGCACTGAGAGCGAGCATTGTATGGTATTTTGCAAGGATTACGTAGTCTCACTAATTGAGAATATTGTCTTATTTAAATCTTCCAATCGACAATCAGAAGATATATGTTCCTCTCAGACTCATGAGCATTAAGCATAGAAGCATGGATTAGATTAGACACCCAAATAAGACCATTTAAATCTTCCAAAAAAAAACACAATTTCATCTCAATTTGTAATTACAAAATGCTAATATGGTCATTCCGTTTCTTTTGTCCTTAAATCATGAAAATTATTTTTACGAAGAATAGCGAAAATCAAACAAAAAAAGCAGCGGATATACTGAGTGTGAAAGACTAGTATTTATCATGTCATTTTCAATTCATAGTTACGCGTCCGTATTGTAACATGTATTTGTGATGGTAAGAAGACCCAAGCAAAGTCGCCAAACCCAAAGCAAGACAAGTCAAAATGTCAACCGGAAAGAACGCGTAGCGTACTACTTGACTTCACTTCTTGTTTAACTCGCATCGCATCTTATAATCCTCTCAGTTTGAACTTTGGAGTTTGGAGTCTGGAGTTTGGCGTTTGAAGTTTGAGCAGCAGCAGCAGCAGCAGCAGCAGCAGCAGGAGGCACCAGGTGTCTGTCTCGTCGGTCAGTCGTCACGTGTCACCGTATGCTCAAGGCTTGCCTTTTTCGGAGGTAAATCTGAATCTGTGTGTTGTTAGAACCTTTTTTGGATCTGTTTGGTTGGTCGATGAGAAATCTGTGTCTAATCTTGTAAACTCACACCGCCCTGTATTTGTACTATTTCTCCGTACCAATTAGCAAACACTCATTGACTGCCATCTTGCTATTTTGTTCTCAACCAATAACCAATTTGAATTTACCTTACTCTCATTGAATTTACTTAATTTGGGGTTTAGACTTGTGGAAAACCCCAAACTTGATGTCTTTGTTTAATTTGAAACCTTCCTTCCAATGTCCTGAGTGCTCTCCGTTCCTTGTAATCACGGATTAGGATTAGTACCTTCAGAGACTAGTTTCTCATCTTGCTCCTGAGAGTCGGACAAGCCTACAACGCCGACGTCAACTACTTAGCTGAACAACCACCCTTGTTGCTTTTTTCTGGATATGCTTTTGATTCTGTAGCGCATGTGTTGTTTGCATTTCATTTGGTCCTGCTTTTTTGATGACGAAAATAGCTTATGGTCTTCGGATCCTTGAGTTTGACTTCAACATAAAATCATATCCGGAACCCTTTAAGGAATCCAATTTTCAAATCATCGTCTGACACTAGGTAAAATGAATGAAAGACCAAGGCGGTTTTGGTGATGCTGAGCATGAGCTTCTACTGTAATTGCTTGCAGACTACAAGTGGAATTGCGTATTAACTCTAACGGTGTACTAGTGATGGGTTCCGTTCAAAATACAGTTTACTACTGTTGTGTGTCAAGGGGTAACCGGATCCTCTACGTGCATAGTAGCGGAGATGGTGAAATTGACAACTTGGCTTCTTTGTGTTTGGAAAAGACTCCTCCTTTTCATAGGTGGTATTTTGAGACGGTTGGTAAAAGGACTTATGGTTTCTTAATTGAAGATGCCTATGTTTATTTCACAATTGTTGATGATAGTTTGGGGAATACCGGGGTTCTTCAGTTTTTAGAGCATTTGAGAGACGAATTCAAGAAGGTATCCAGGAAGGGTTCAAGGGGAAGTTTGTCGAGTGTTATGAGTTCTGTTGGCATACAAGAACAGCTAGTTCCTGTTATCCACCGCTTGATCACCTCCTTGGAGAACGTTTCTCACGGTGGTAGCAATTGGACAGCTGAAGCTTCTCCATCACTTCATGCTGGTCTTTCTCCATCACCAAGTAGTGCCAATGGTCAAATTGAAGTTGCCAATTCTACAAAAGCCCCTCTCTTGGGGAAGTCCAGCAAGCAAGACAAGAAGAAGGCTAAAGAGCATGTGATTGCAATGAGAGACATCGAGTTGGAGGAACATAGGAAATCTACGGATAGAGGAGTCAGTATTGACTCAGCTAATTCGGGTTCCAATAACCAAGCTGGAGCAGGTTCTTCAATTGCATTACAAAAGGATTTGGGATCAATGAGGATTAGGTCAGGTTCTCAAAGCATTCGAAAGAAGTGGTGCCGCCAAGTGCGAATTGTCCTTGCCGTTGATGCAGCTGTTTGTGTTATACTGTTTGTGATTTGGTTATGGATTTGTCATGGTATCGAGTGCATCCGTTGAATATGTTGTGATCGGTGTCTAAAGTGGAGCTTGAGATCGTGACTGGAGAGGTGGAAAATCATGTCATCAAGAAACAGTTGTCGCAGAGAAGTCTACGGGAGTCGCATGTTAACCTTCTGAATGATGTTTCTGCATCTATTTGATTTGAAGGTACAGATGGTGGAGGAATTTGTTATATAGTTGGTTCTACAGTTTCTTTGCTTCTTGTGCATATGCAGATTTAGAAAATTATAAACTTGTGAGTCAGTAGGGAGCGTTTGGATGCCTTTATGCAATTTCATAATATTCTCTTGTAGTTGCTGCTGGGATTTTTGGTAGTGCTTTGTGTATCGTATCATCATCATCATCATGCAATGATTGAAGCATTCTGTTGGAAAGTCGTTTGCTTAACCTTTTTCTTGTTTAATATTTGTTCATTTTAAAACCATCTATGTTTCCTATTTCTTGGTTTCTTCCTTGACCCAACCTTGGGGGAAGAATGGATGGCTTCCAAGTAACAAGGCAAATACTTATAATCTTTGCATTCCGACCATTGCATTAACCGGTCATGTTCCTCGCCCGGAGAAGGGAGGCTGGCATGCCCAACCCTTCGAGCAAACCGTTTCAAAGGGAACATTTGCTTGAAATAATGATGACGCGGCATCGATAATATTACAAATAAATTAAAAAGAGATGTTAGGGCATCAGATTTTTTACAACATATTTCAATGGAGAGGAATGTGAAGTAACATGAACCCATCAAACCATGAATTGAATATTTTAGATAAGAGCCGAGCCGGGTCGATCCGATCCGATCCGATCCGATCCGATCCGATCCGATCCGATCCAGTTCAGTCCAGTCTGCTGACGAAATTGAAACATAAAAGCCTGTTCAAATGTTCTGACGGCATTGTTTTTCATTTAATATCAAGAAAACGTAGAGACATCCCCTGCAACCCCAGACTTAAGTTTCAGTGTAGGATTGAACCAAAAAACCATTCAGGAAAACCTGCTTATATGTCCAATCCAAAGCCAGAAGGGGTATCTTGAAATAAATAGTCTTCTAAAAACTCCTAAAAGGACACTTAAAAAGTCAATAAGAAAAAGAAAAACTACACGAGGTGGCATTATGTGTGTGTTGGGGAACTGGGGCCTTGATTTAAGGCCTTGCATTGCACAAAATGAACTCCTTGGACTCTCCACCCATTGCCGTTTGGTTTTAGGTTGGATTGCTTAACTTTCACAAGAAACGATATCAGCCTATCAGCTAATCCATCCATGTGCTAAGACCAGTTTGGTCACATTACATCACTCAATCCACGTGTTTTGCTCAATAAAACCACTTGTGAAGGGATGCGTCGGTAATATGAATCAACATTGCGTTGTAAAGCGTTACATCAACCTTAACAAGTTTACCATAGAATTTAGTTTCATAGCTTAGAATAAACTAAGAATCAAGATTATGATCAACTCCTTTAAGGTCATTTATCATTTATCATTATTCTTGAATGGAAAAGTAAATATCTCCTCAAGTGTATGCTAGTATTGTCCTCAAACTGATGCTGATCCAAGCATGTCGAACAGCAGTAGCACTAAGACTACAACAGGGTACTGGCTGAAAAATAAGTAAATAACAAGACTGCAAGAGAGAACAAGAATAAATTCATCCTAACCCTTCCATTTCATTTAGGAATTTTTAAAGTATTAGCGTCATTTTGAATATTTAAAAGCATATCAGAAAAGGATGACGTAAATACTGCTGAAAGCACAATGCTGATATGAGATCGAGAAAATATAATGGGTGTGTGTGTGTGTGTGTGTGTGTGAGAGAGAGAGAGAGAGAGAGAGAGAGAGAGAGAGAGTAATACTTTACCGAATTACACCAGACTTTGCCAACTGAATAGCATACTTCATGAAGCTGAAGACCGAATGTGAGTCCTCTTCACTGAATCCAGTAATGCCTTCGATATTACTGTATTTAAAAGGTAAAGGACAAACAAAAAAAAGAGTCAGGACAATATTAAACAAATATGATTTGGCATTTGTATTCTGGGAATGCAGAACGAGGAGCCCCCAGCAGAAAAAGGAAGTAACAAACCCACACTGCAGAGGTGCTGATAAAAAAGAACTTTTATGTAACTATCCCATATAATGCCTTATACTTGTAAGTGCCTAATTTTCCTGTTGGTGTTAGCATAACTTCATGCATGTATCATTGAGGCAACATTTATAGTATCTCGAGATTTTAATCATTCTAGGACTACTGTTCATCCTTACTGAACATCTTTCACCTTCTCATCACCTCAATCTTAGAAAGGAAAAACTAAAGACTCCTGAACAGCAATGATCCATTATTAAAGAAAAAAATTAGTGCCAAAACACAATTAGGTAAACAAACACACTTAAATTACATTTAATTTTAAAAGAGCAGAAGCTTACTAGGTTTTTTTTTCCCAACAGAAGCTTACTAGGTTGGTGGATGATAAGATGTTGGCCATAGCTTGCACTGTTCTTCCCACTCATCTTTTGATGATGCTGCATACTTGCAAACCTAAATTTAGTGGATTTAGATGTTTGCCATATTCTTGTTTAACGATAAATTTGGAGACTACCAGAAGAATAGTAGGTTTTCAGATAGAGAAATGTTATTGGCACTCCAAAAATCTTATTCACCTCACAAGTGTATTTTTTTTCCCAATATAGAAAGTTTGGAGTGTAGAAAAAGATTTTTAGAGTGCTAATAACAATTCTCTCCGGATACTATTAATAATAATAAACACTCAAACAAATCAGATTCAATATCCAAAATGAGATAGTAAGTTCATACGGAAGGGATCCATATCATTGTATATACAAGACAAGGCCTACGAGGGATTGCACAAAAATGAAGTAAACAAAATGCTAAGACTAGATTGGAATTCAGTAAAACACAATTAAAATAACAACAGCAGCAACAAAGCCTCATCCCACTAAATGGAACTCAGTAAAATGGAATTACAATGATTCCATTCAATTCTAAGATTATACCGAAGAATAATAGTGGTACTAATTAATATCTTACAAATCCACGGATTTGTCTCTTATGACTACCTAAGGGGGAACACTTTGATCATACATCCCCAAAGCCCATTAACAGGGGAATTTTAACGAAAAGCTTCTGGTACTGTTCACTTTAATGAAAAACCACATTTTTACACTAGAAAGTCAATCTTGATACTATTCATTTTACTCTTTATTTTGTTCTTATCGTTAAAACTCAAAGTTTTCAAGCCATTTTCATTAGTTTTCCTTTCTTTCTAAGAATCTTGAGAAAGAAAAGAAAAGTTCCTCAAGTAATCAAGTAGCCTTACCTAATGTAAATTAACAGGAGGCCTAACTTCCATAAAGAAAACATAAGCAAGTAAACAAATTAATAGATGATTTATAAGTCATATAGTTTGACAACGAGCTAATTAACTTGTAATGTAAATTTATTAATTGTGCAATAATTTTAAAAGAGAAACATTGAAGTTTACATTCTGAAATAAAACAACAACAATAACGAAGCCTTATTGACACACCCCGATCCTAGAATCAAGGCGTGTTAGCCGTCACGTGAGTGTGACGTAACCAAAAGTGTGATGCGGAAGCAAAAGATATGAGAAATACGAAGGAAGAAAAACCAACTACTAGCAGTAATATCCAACTAGCATACTAGAGTGAGTTTAAGTGTGCAATACACAATTTCAGAGCATAAAAAAAACTAGGTGCAGTCAAGTAGGACTATAATTAAATTACAACACCCGCATGTGAGTCCTACATGCAAGAAGTCTGTCAGAATGCCGAAGAAAACCTCGTGAGCCACCAACTGCTAACTAGAACCTGGAGGGGCGCAAAAACAAAATTGAGTGGGTCAGTAAAACCAAAGTTTTCCAAAACATTTCATTAAAAACATTTCTAACCCCTTACTGTAAAACCTGTATACTTTCCCAGAAAATAACATAATAGTATATAAAACCTCATACGTCACAAATCACCAATCTATCACAAATTCAGGAATATGCCATGCCATAAATGTCGATAACAAAACATGGATGCATCAAAATAACAGGTGACATAATGAATTAACCGGAGACCCTGCAGTTGGTCCTGTACGGTTAATTCCATAGCTCAATATCCAACCCAGCCGGAGTCACCACGGTGACCTGTACGGCACTACTCTGCACATAAGTCGGAACTACCTAAAGTAGTCTGTACGACAAGAATGGTGTAATGATACGCTCTAGTGCTTCTCTCATCAATCATCTGCGCGCATAATCTAAGGTCATCTACTAGTCGGAACCACCTCTAGTGGTCTGTACGACTAGCATGTCGGAACCCTCTCATGGTCTGTACGACATGCACCTACTTGGATCCAAGGTGAGCGTGCGGTGCGGTGAATAATATAAGCACTAACACCAGGGGTGCAGGTTATGAGCTCTCAACACAATTTACATCATCAATGATTCACATGATTAACATAAAACTCACCTGATACTCACCTGTGCGTCCACAACACCAATTCATGCATATATATATGCATCAATATCAATTCATATATCTATAATATGCATGCACGGCATTTTAAAACGTACTTTCATATGAATTCAATTTCTGGGAAAATCAATAGTATATAGGTAATACGAAAAACAAAACTGCCCACTCACTGGTAAGTCGATGGGTCGTTGTTGGAAATGTGCCCTAAAACCAATCATATGATGATACTTTACGGACATTTCACAAGTTAAACTAATGTAGTTTAAATATAAAGGGCAAAAGGTTATTGTTTTAGTCGTCTCATATACATGTTATATGCTTAAACGATAAGTCCAAGGAATATGTGATTGGGAGAATGCAATCTAAAGAAGTTAGATTCATGAGACCATTCTTTCATATACATATCCTAAACGTTCCTGATCATAGGATTGCCAATTGGGCATTGACAGTCCGTTAAGATCAGTACGTGCTGTGTCTTCTCTCAGGGAGAGTGACTAGTTTCGAGTCATTGGTGTGTGTGACATCAAGACAAGTACGTAGGTGCTCAATAGAGAATGAGTTCACTGAACACGATCAACGAAGAGTTCTCATATTCATGTCACATGAGAACTTATGGTTGGGATAATGCAAAGTAGTCCTTTGACCTGAGGCATCATAGTTGTCTTGTGGTTAAGTCCTTGATCTTTGATTATGTCAAAGTCACTCTATTCGAGGGTGTCCACGACATAGTTGGGGTTAAGTCACTTAGCTATGGAGGCAAGTGAATGCGCAATAAGGGATCTCTAACCTTCAAACCGTTTGAGGGAGAATACTCTATGATATGATTAAGAATCTCTGGCAAGAGTATGAATGAGATTTAGGAAGTCGTTCCAAATCACATTCAAGGTAATCATATAAGCACACGAATCACAT